GATTTCCCCGGGTTTCACGCTCCGCAGGCTGGGACCTCGACTCCGCCCCCGGGGCGGGGACAGAAGGTCGCACTACCCTTCCCTGCCTCCGGCGGGCAGGGTCCCCAGACTCCCGCGTCGACCCCGGTCCAACTTCACGGTTCCCGGTCCCCACTGCTCCCCACGCCGCCCGGTGCGGCTTAGAGGCGGCTGACCTGCGAGGGTCCCCTTGCTGCCTCTCCTCTCCTTAGGCTTCTGTCCCGGACCCCGCGGGCGGGGTGGGGGGAGGTACTCCGCCCCTCCACCAGCCGAAGGCTCGTGAGGACCGGGCGCAGCGTTCCCCCTCCACCGACTCCGAGGTGGTGCCAGAGCCGCGTTAGCGCCCCTCACAGAAGAGCCGGCTCCCCGCGCTCCTGCAGAAGCTCCGCCGAGAGTGTAACCCGAGCGGAGCCGGCGCGGGGGAAAGCTAGAGAGACTGTCGCCAGCGGTCCTGGCCGGCTGCGCCAAGCTGGGTGCTTCGGGAGACAGGAGAGGGCCAGGGCCAGGTGCCGGTGCTGGTGGAGGCCCCCAGGCCGGTATGGAAGACAGGCGGACCCTTCTGCAGCGGGTGCCTGGGAAAGCGCCGGGTCTTTGGTGCGCACAGCGGAGACGTGGGCCCCGCTGGAGCGCCCAGGCGGGCTTCCCGGTGGCAGTGAGGCTGAGCTGTCTGGAGCAGTGAGCGAAGGCCCAGGCCCCTTCCCCAGCCTCATCTCGTGCCCTCCCACCACCGCCGCTAAAAGACAAAACAAACAACGGCGGTGTCACATTACATGAAACATATTAAGATGCATCCACCTCCCACTTTTTTTTTCAGAAAAAACTTTGAAAAGGTTATACAGACCATTGTAATTTTGAAATTAATTTTATCTAACACATACAATTTATGAGGGTTTGTTTTTCTCTGCAATCACCCTGCACATATAGAAGATGCTGGAGAATTGAGAGGCTCAAAATCACAAATTATTTTCATAAGCAATGAAATTTTATGGCCACTCCTAGGTTGCTTGTGTTTTTTTCTCCAGCAGACGGTGAGCCTGTGGGGCAAAGGTCTATGCTTGTCTGGGTTAGTGTTTTATTATTGCAAACATCTATCGCCATAGTCTGGCCCATAGCAGGTGCTCGATAAATGCTTAGTGAATAAATGGATCTCAGTGATACACGAGATTTTAGGGCGAACATAGCATTAAATTACACTGAAAGGGAAAGTTATTCTTTTAAGTTTAGGTTCAAGCCTTCGGAATATATCAAGGGGGAAAGCCCCAATTCGGTGCTAATATGTTTCTAACACCTATTAATTTGTCCTTTCTCTAACAAGGAACTGATCTCAGAGCTTCTGTTGACAGTTTTATCTAAATAGAGGTTAACTTTTATGTTCCGTCTCTTTGTTTTTATAGTTGCTTTATTGTTAGGGTTACTCATGCTATTTTCCTATTTATGAAAATGATATACACTTTCTTTGAAAAATAAAATTACATATAGTTTAATAAACATACATTTATTACAATTAAATATAATTAAATTAAAATCTATGCTTCTTAGAATTGAATACAAATAAGAGATAAATTTCTTAAAATAAAACAATACATTTTGTTAAAAAAATTTTTTTCTTTATTTTTCAAAATTAGTTTCAGGTGTACAAAACAGTGTAATAGTTCTACTTTTTACCCCTCAAAGTGACAACCCTCCTCCCCCAATCTGA